TCTCTCTCTCTCTCTCTCTCTCTCTCTCTCTCTCTCTCTCTCTCTCTCTCATCCCGCCGAAGACGACATCTCTGCGCTCCTTTCGTTGGGTATACAATGTGAAAATATCACTCAATGTACTAAACTACTGTAGTTGTATTTGTGTTTGTGGATCCAACCCCGATTTGTTCCCTACTGCCTGAGTGAGCACTGGACCTCGACTCTGCTCCGTCTGTTCGGACCAGAACTTTCAGAGATTGAGAGAAAAAGTCGCGTACTCTGTAAGCTCGTTCGTATGGATAAGGCAGGCTGGTTGGTTGATTACGTGGTTGGTTTTTTTTGCAGCTAATAGGTACGGGGGACACCTATCAGACTATGAAATTATTGGGAGAGAAGAGAAGAGAAGCTGTCTTGTATACCTGTATACCTGTATAAACGATAAGCTCAGCACCCATTTCTTGCATCCTTATGGAGAGCCGCCGCCGTCTAGAGCTCTCAAGTCTCAAGTCTCAAGAGGTCAGGTCGCCTACGGAGTATAGATACACTGTCATCGAAGCCAGTGTGAGTGCCATCCCCGAACAGCCAAGCTTGCAATACCCGTACCTAGGTAGGTACCTAGCTGTAGCAAAGCCGCAGCGGGCGCTCACGTAGGGGCTGGACTCGGTACCTCTCCGAATTCAAATTCAAACTGAAGAAAAGTGCAGCAGCGTGTATGCGTTACCGAATCTGCATCCGGCAGGTTCTGGGTAACATAGGCGTTGCAACACAATGGGAGAGCCTGCGTATATGGCTGCGTTGGTAGGCGATATACAGAAAAACCTTCACGTAAAGATACCTTGCTGGATCTAAGGAAGGATGGCTACCTCGTAACCACCCATATTTTTCACGAACCGATTTTTTGGCTCGTGTTCATAGGTAAGGATACATTCACTCCGTGATTACCTAGGATGTCCATAGGAATCTAGATCCCGACAGGGCCCAGTTGGGTAGTCCGTACCTAGCTGTACGGATATCCTTCCGCAGAGGCCAGTACGTGGTTCAAATCCCTTCTCTCTCTCTCTCCCTTTTTCTTCTTCTTGATAACACTTATTCATTCAGCCATACATTCCTTTTTTAAAAAGGCCCGTTTGATAACGCTTCCTTCCTAGTCATCTTTCCAGGCCATTTTCGAATTCCTACCTATTTTATGATATAACGGTAAGTCAATCAGTGTTTGTTTGGTGAGCAGCTTTCTCCGGATAGGAATCGAAACCTCGAAACTGAAAAAAACCAGGAACTAGGAACTAGGAACTACCGAGGTAGGAAGCAAGCTCGAAGCCTCGAAAGTAAGTAGGTCGGAGCCAGAAATGTACACAGCACTTGCTCACTTCCGAAGCACCTAGTTCCGAGAACACCACAAATTCCAATCCCAAATTCCAATCCCAAATTCCAATTCCCAATTTCCTTGTTCTCCACGTGCCTTTGAGCCCGTATACGGAACTTTTCTTGTACGGCTCTTGTAACACCAATCGCCACTACGTAAAAACCCTTTGATACGCTACCTGACCGAGGCAGGTACTTCTCTACCTTACTTATCATACATTGACTCATCCTTATCAGATTACCAAGGATGCCGTACGGATCTCATACCTACCAAGCTACCTCCCTATCTGACCGACAGGAGGAACGTCAGTCGGCATCAAACCATCAGCTACCTACCTAACCTACCCACTCAATCCTTTTTCAAACGAAGAAGAGTACATCCCGTATTTCCCGCACTCCCAAGCACCAGTCACACGTAGTAGGTTCTCCAAAACCCGTAGAAAGCGCTTCCCAAACAAAGACTCTTTGGCGAACTGCGTCAGAGACACATTTCCAACGCAGGCGTTCTACGTGGGAACATGAGCCGTCTATTTCTATCTTCTATATTCTGATTCCTTCTTCCTAGCTCCTGGTACTCCGAGATTCTCCTCCCGAAGTGACTAGATGAGATTTGTTAAACGGCATCTTACCTCTCCCATAAGTGATGATGATGATGATCATCATCTCTGCTCTCCTCTCTCTACCCCTTCCAAACCCAGCGTTCATCTTTCATGACCGTTTGCTCGTAAAAGAACCTCTCTCTCTCTCTCTCCCTGTCTCATCGCCAATGACCATTCTCCTACCTTTTCGAATAGATACCAACCTCTCCATCTACCCTACCCGCTTCCAACATCGACCTATCCACCAGTGATGGTAACAATAAGTAGATAACAGCGCTAACTCTAACTCTAACTCTTTCTCTACCTCTGGTTTAGTTTAGTAGATCCTGCATGCATTGTAGATACCCCTCCTTTTGGTTTTTGTTCTAACCTACCTACTCCTCTACCTACTACCTACTCCTACCTACTCCCACCTACTCCCACCTACTCCTCTACCTACTACCTCCCCCTACCAACTCCGTATACCCCGTATACGCAGGTGCCAAGCACATCGCCATACACCAAAAGATAAACAAACATCCCCTTCCTCCCCCCATCCCCCCCCACCCCATCCCCCCCATCCCCATCCCAGTTCCAAACCCGCGCAACCCATCCACCCACACCCACCACCCTCTCCATCCCCCGCCCCCCCTCCACCAATCCCACCCGCATCCCCAACCCCACGATCCCCAACCCCAACCCCACGATCCCCCCACCGCCAAAAGCAGCAAGCACACCAAACAGAGATCGCAGATCCGCCGTTCCTCTCTCTCACTTACGCGCCCAAACCCAACCAACACCGACCCCAAGTACAGTACTTGTGCCTACCTACCTACCTACCTACCGACCTGAGACCGGCTGCATACCCGAATGCGCGGAGGAGAGTCTGAGATGGATACCTACATACCTACCTACCTAGCCACCTACCTTAGCTAGGATGCAAGAGGACGGTCGTCGACTTCTTGTTTACTACTACTACTCCTCCTACTCCTATTGACTACTACTACATACCACCCCTCCTCGAATCCGAGATATCCCACTTACCCACCACACATACCCACACACCACACACCACACACCCACCATCCACTTGACCCTTCCCCTCCCCTCCCATACCAAACATACCAAACATACTACCTACCTACCTACCCTCCCCTCCCATACCAGCAACCATCTCAGCAACCATCTCAGACTCCAAGTCTCAGTCTCCGAATCTCAGACTCCAAGTCTCCGAGTACCGCTAGCTACCGGGTATTGATTGATTGACTTTGATGAATGAATTACGTCAACCAACAGGCGGTGGATGGTGGATGTTGGATGTTGGATGTGGATTTTGGATTTGGGATTAGGGATTAGGGATTTGGGATTTGGATTAGGTTGCATAACATAACATAACATGCATTCAAGTCATTCGTTGGTTGGTTGATCGATGACGATAACTTACCGGGCGAGAAATTTTCATTACATATTGCACAAATGTACAGGAATACGGTACCCATCTCATCAGTCCTGGTAATAGCCCAGAGGAGAGGGAAGAGATCACAATAGTCACTATGAGGCAATGTAGATCAAGATCTTTGGTGTTTGAAGATCTTGCTTGCTATTACTTGGCATGCTATGATCTGTGTACTAGCAACTCATGTCTTTCCCCAAGTGCGATTTAGACTTTTTCCCCCCCCCCACGCTCCCACGCTCACATGTCCCCCACGCCCCCCCCCACACGCCCCCCCCACGCTCCCCCACGCCCGAGAAAATAAGAAAAAAGCAAGGATCAATCCGCCCTTGGGCATTGATGGATGCAAAGCTGTAGCCATCCGACGCCATACGCAATGCAAAGCAGACCCTGTGCCACCCACCCACGCCATCAATGCAGTACCGCAGTACATATCCCGGTGAAGCAAAATGTGCTATGCTGGGAAGAGGAAATAAACAAAAACAAAATAACACTAAATGTACTCTACAGTCGAAAGTCGAAGAATGAGCATCCAGAGCAAAACGAATGAGATTCAGGGTAGCCTCGGCTCTAGATCAAGAACTTCTTGTCCAAGACCCGAATCGCTCGCTGGTCCTCTCCCACAATGTTGAGCTTGTCGTGCGGAATATCGGCCGTGGATCGTTGGGCATCCCCTCCGGCAGACTTCGGGCTCTTACTACCGTGCCGACTGGCGTTGCCGTTGCTGTTGCTCTTGTTGTCCGACATGACGCACACCGAGTCCGTGGCATGCACCAAGCTGGAGATACTCGGGATGCTCTGAGCTTGCGAGGTACTGGCCGACTTTGGTGTCTCTCTCTTGGGAGAAGCGGGTCGAGTCGCCGGAGAAGGGGTAGTGGCTCGAGATTGGGCGGTGCCGTTGACTTGAGGAGGGGTGGTGGTTCTCGGAGTCTGAAGTTGGACTGGGGCGAGTGGCACTTGTACCGGTGGGAGAGAGATCGGGGCCATGGGAGTCGAGAGTCGGGGATCGATCATGGGAGGGCTTTGCAGGGCTCTCTGGGCGATCTGGGCTTGCTCGGCGATGAGGCGGGTAGTGGGAGGGACGCGCGGGCTGGGATTGGATGGGTAGCTTGGCATTGACAGAGCCAGGTTCGCAGCGGTTGCAGTGCTCATCCCTCTGGAAGAGCTGGGAGGAGGTGGAGGGAGCGACGCCTCGGAGAGAGGCGGGGGCGCTCGCTCGTAGGCAGCCTGGGGATGCGGTATCAAGCCATTCTGAACATGACCGTTCATCATGTGAGGGCTGTGATGTGGGTATGGCGAGCTGTGGACAGATCCGGGGGGTGGGGGCGGGAGAGGAGAGTACATCTGGTGGCCTGGATAATGGCCATACGGAGGAGTCTGGGCGGGGGAAGGTGGCCACGAGTATCCGGACTGGTAGCCGTAAGGTGGTGGCGGAGGTCCTCGGTGGGGGGTAGGCTGCATGGGTTGGTGTTGCATGTATGGACTCTGCTGCATAGGTGTTCGGGTAACAGCAGGTCCCTGAGCCTCGTGTACGGTCGATTCGGGATACATGCCCTTGACTGGGACAATGTGACGAAGCTGTGGGTCTGTCGTTGGCGTATGTAGCTCGGGCGCATTTGGATGCGGTCGAGAGTAGTAGCTGATCAGATGGAGGTGTTGGCCGGTAGAGGTTGTAATGCTGAAAGATTGCTTCATCAATCCATCAGGCTTGTATCTGTACCCGTCTGGCCCATCGCCGTCCATGTCGAGGTCCTCATCACTGCCTCTTCCGCTGTCTGGTGTCTTCCCATTAGGCCGGCGAACGGGCGGGGGAACAAATTGGCCTCCTCCTCTCTTGCCCTCCATCTCGCGGTAGGTCAGGAAACTCCCCGAAACTCTGCTCGCACTCCACGATTTTCCGTCTGTCCATCTGCGCATGCCTGCTTCCCTCTCGTCCCACACGAACACCGATCCAGACTTGATGGATTGTCTCTCCTTCTCCGACAGTCTGCGTTGCACTCGAGGTAATAATCCCAGGCGGCAGGCCTCGAACAGCTTGATTGCGTCTGCTGGCGACCTGACGTGGCCGTAGTATGTATCCATCTTGTCTGTACTCTTCTATCCACACAGGTGGATTACCTCTTGAGAAAGTTCTGAACGCGATTCCAAGATTCTCGTTCCTCAGCGCATGCCTCTGCAGCGCGGAATGATTGCTGTTGAGTGGCGCCGTCTAATATCTGTGGCCTCCTGCAGATCCTACGTGGGTGTCTCCACGCGATCTTGGGGCGTCAGAGAAAGCTCAACTGGTGGGCCTCTGGCACAGTGGTCAAGAACTGTGGTAGTCGGAGGCTGTTTTGAAAAGGGCGACCGCGGGGTGAAACGGTTGCCGTATGAGATTCCGGTCCTTCGGATGAGTGTTAGCTGCAGCTCATCCAGCCATGCAAAAAAAAGAGTCGACGACGATCTGGACGGCGAGATAAGGTGAAGCACTAAGTGTCAGAAAGCTTAAATAGGCTTCTGGGCAGCTCTGTGTATCGTCTTGCCCCGACTGGAGGCGTTATAGAAGAGTGCTGGCCCTAGCAGCGTAGAGCCGGGCGTGATCTGCCAGAGCGCGGAGAATGTTATGTATGTGCTTAAGTGCTGGACTAGGAAAACATTGGGGCCCTCCGCGTACATGCCCAGAGGCCGAGGCGCGCCAAACAGGTGAAAGTCACCAGATAGTAGGGATGGTTTTTCCATGTGTGTAAAACGACGCGACAAAGATCTGATAACGAGAGAAAAGGTACGCACCTTGCGACGAAGCGTCGGCGGGGAGATCAAGCGTTTCCCAAAGTCGTGTTGGGCATGTGGGTATGTAGTGGTCGTCGTTGGGTAGCTCGGTCGGAGGGGATTGGAGAAGCTTGAATGGTTCTGGTCACGGGACTTCTCTCCCAGGTCGACTCTCTTTTCTTGCACGACTCTCCGTCTCAAGGCACAAGATGTGGACTTGGAGTATGTTGATTAAGAGGATAACCCCCCCCTTTTTTTTTTCTCTTTTGGTGCGTGAGTTTCTGATGATTCCGAATATAATCTGATCTTTGCTGGATCTGTCGTGCTGAGCTGAGCTAAGCAGATCAGAGCAGTACGGTGCGTTGCGGTAGAGAAGTCAAGTCCTTTCTTTGTGGACGCCGTCTCGAGTGGTCTTGAGGGAGCAATTCTTTTAAGAGTAACTCAGCGGCGGACTTCACGGTATATCAAGGACTTGCCATATGCCACGTTACCGTCCCAGGGATGGACAAAGCCGTTTGGCGTTCGTTGGTTCAAATTATCTTAGATTAGGCTTTTACTTGGGCCCGGCTAGGGTGCACAGGCAAGTATCTGTAAGGACCGAGGGGACGGAGGCTACGACACCGTTTAATCCTATTTAGGCAATGGAGGCAAGGTTTCCGATCCCGCATGGGGCAGTATATGCTATGGTATGCGTGAGGAAAGGTCGAAGGTTATGCCCTGGATAAGGAAAAAGATCTGACGGGAGTAACGGTAACAAGCTAATTAGTTGTACTTACTGTGCTCCGTACCGCACTGGGATGTTGCAAATGCAATGCGCATATCAGACGTCGGAGTCTAATTGATGGGATGGTGTTGAAGAGCGCCTTGGCCTTGGACTTGACCTTGGCGCTGCTGCTCTGGCTTCCTTTTCCTCCAAGGCCAGAGGTTCCGAGGCATAGCAGAGAGAGAGAGAGATAGAGAGAGAGAGAGACTCACTCTGTACTGACCATATCTCCATAGATGCCTCCCTCGCTAAGATGGAATTCTTAGGTACGAAGGCACGTACGTAGTATGTGTAAGTAAGTGTATGTATGTACGTAGTAAATAGCCATGCTTCCTTCCACCTATCAAGAGCCAGCCCCCTTCTTCCCTTCTTCCCTGGGTATACTATTACCGTCAGTCACAGCTGACTTGGCTTGTTCCGACAAGACTCTGAACAAGCAAATATCGGACACCTTGGCTGTGTGGCTTTGTTTCTCGGACAGGGTCTGGGTGGATGGCGGGTCTCGGACTCAGGACGTGGCTATGCTTCACGGGAGCTGGAGAGTACCTCCGTAGAGATGATGGGTGGATGGATCCCCTTTTGGCTGGCTGGCTGACTGACAGACGAACGAAGAAAGGAGAGAGAGGCCTTTGCACATTGCACATGCGGTCGAGAGAAATACTACGTACGTACCGGTAGTATGAGCTTACCGATTCCACCCCCGTTTCTTGCCGACCAAAGGATCCATCCTCATCCGGGCTTACAAGTGCAGGCAGGAGATCCCATCCAGTCTAGTCCACCGGTAGTCCAATCTTCGGTTTGGTGGCTGGCAGGCAGCCTTCCACGTACCCACTCGCAAGATCAGGGTTGGTACTTCGAGTACACGCAATTACAGCTGGAGTGCTGCAGTCTCAGCTACAAATACTCCGTACTACTATATTCTTCTCATCTCGCATATCGGCCTCCGCGGGAGAGCGAATGGCAGGTCACCCAAAGAAAGTGATGCATTAATGCATGCCCGTGCTCGGTAAACTCTTTCAAGCCCCGACCGAATCGAATGTCTAGGTAGTCGACGAAGAAAGTTGCTTGGAACATTGAGCCAAGTTACGGTCAAGAGGGAAACCGGAGGTAATGATTTAAGCACCGCTAAACAAGATGAAACATCTAAGTAACTGCTGACTGACTGCACCGAGTGACAGACACGGCATTCATACTTATCACTTCATACTTATCACGAGTTGGTCTGTCGGTCGATGGACTGCCTGACTGCCTCACCTCGTTTAGCCTTGCCTCGCCTTACCTCGCCTTATCTCTCGCCTTACCTCGCGAGGCCTCGCCTATACGGGTTGTTTCTCTTCCTTCCTTCTAGCGCAGCTTTCTTTCAACGACTGACGAGGCCTGTGGGTCCTCTCCGCAAGGCCAGGCAACCCTTCGCAACGCCCGTGATCAGAGCATCCAGGTAGGAGGAGTAGCTTCCTATTCTACGGACGGCAGTTCGTCCAGTTCAGTTCTATTCAGCGTCGCTCTCTCTCAACCCGACGTCCACCACCACCACCACCAGCTCCTCCTCCCAACCTGACCTTCACACTCCTATAGCCTGTAGTAGACTAGTAGCTACCTACGGAGTGCTCGGGCTTGCGGAGTTTGAGCAACTCCTGCCGACGATCTGCCCATTCCATTTACGGAGAGGAGGATAGAGTTGCGCTGTAGGGCAGGGGGGGCCAGTGCTTCAAACCCAAAACTCTAATGGAGACTGGGCACGCGTATGCCCGCATCTGGGCACAATTATGAACAACTCACTCCCTTCAGCCATGATGATGAGAAAGGCCGCCGATCTCTTCGTCCATGCTCTGTGGCATTGCGATCCTCCTCCGCCCAACGATCGAGATGGTGTGTCAGTCAGTCCCCCTGGTAGTTGAGAAAGCAAGCAAGCAAGCAAGCAAGCAGAAGGTCTTAATGCCAGAGTTCATTAAGGTCTTAAGGTCAGAGTTCTATCATCCTCCGGTACAGTAAGAAGCCTTATACGAGGTGCCAAGCCAAACCTTCTCACCCGACACGGCTGTACGGCGCCTTAACTCCTGACCAGCGGATTTCTTATTTTCTTATTTTCTTGTTCTCTTATTTTCTTATTCTCTTATTCTCTTGTTTTCTTACTTTCTCACCTGATCGGATCCCGAGGGGCCCAGCGTGGCTTGCGCGCTAACAAAGCGATTGGCAACAAAGCGGAGGGGCTTGTCTCGATGGGCAGAAGCTTGGTGAGTCTTGGTCGTCGCAGATCGGCCTATGAGTTCATACGTCGCACTTTTCATATACGTAGTAGTAATATTAGTAGAAGTAGTAGTAGGAGTATTTATTTCTAAGTACTTAGGTACTTATGACAGTACGTATAGCCCTTATCTCGCATTCGGCAGTTGGTCTGGTCTCACGCCGCAGAGCAGCATTGTTTCAATCAAATCATCTACCTATCCATCCAAGCGAGATAATGCATATGGTTGGTAGTTATCTTTACCCCCAAACCCAATAAGCGACTATTCCCGCCCTCTGAATCCATACAGTACTGTAGAAGTAGTTGTACTACCGGTACCGGTACTACATAGTAATACATACCCACCCATCTTCCTTCCTTCTCCTCCTCCCCCTACCCCCTACCCCCTTCCTTCCCCCCTTCCCACCTCTCAGTCTCCGTACGGACTAGGGCTTACCTTACCTCACCGCACCGAATTAGTTGCGTATAACTTTATTCCCCTTGGCGCGGCAATCCGTGTCGGTCTTGGCGCTGCATCCCAAATGCCGTCGTGTCAAACAAATTCAAGGTTTTAAGCATGTTTTTTAACCTACTGCAGATCGCCCCCGCCGCCCGCCGACGGCCGGACACCCTTGCTTTGCTATGCTTTGCTATGCTCTGCTATGCTTTGCTATGCTTTCCATTCCAAATCCCATCCCAACCCAATCACACATCCGAAATGAATCGGTAAGTACGTACGTAGGTGTGGCCTTATTGACACCCCTCTCCGTCTGCGAGCGAGTGAGCGGGTGGGAGCGGGTATGGGTAGCAGTGAACGACTGGGCTATTACTGTAATTGGCATTGAGATACAAATAGATACGCTTTCGTCTCCGTTTCGGCTTAAGGTTTAAGTTGAGCTTTTGCGCCAAGGGCGAAAAGGAATACTCCGTACGTACCCTATACCCTACCGAGTATGCCTGCAGCCTGGACGGGGGCGGGGATTACCCACGTCGCGACTAGGCCTGGTCGCGACAAGACGGACTTGGATATCAGAACGTAGTAGTAAGTAGTCCTACTACAGTACGTAGTACGTAAGGTGGATCCGATCTCGGCTTGGCTGACGAGAGTTTTTTGGGGGTATTTTTTTTTTCTCATTTTCTTTTTTTTTCTTCTTGTCTTTTTCCTTTCTTTTTTTGTTCGTCGCTTTACTTTTCGGCTTTTACTTTTTCTGCTTGCCTGTTTTTGTCTGCCTTTCCGCTTAAGATTCAAGTACTGCGTATTACGTATCGCTTCCGATCTCCGCGCGCGCCCGCTAATAATGCAATACGATCCCCATGCCAGACTATACTGTACCATATTACACTACA